ACTCTTCCGACACCTTCCACGATCAGTTCACCTTCTTTAACACGTTGACGACATCGCGCGTTTTGCTTTTTTGGCCGCGTGGGACCAGCGCGATTTTGCAGGCGCCGCCGCATTTAATAACTCAATAATCGTGGATTTTGAGCTGTAAATACGCAAATTTGATGCGACAGAATGTTTCCATTATTGTTCAATGTTCAACTTATCGGGAGTTACAGTAATGGAAGTTCGACCAAAATAACGTGTTATGGCTACGAGGAGACGAATTTCGCGTACCGAAATTATTTTGAATGTAGTTTTTAATGAAAACATACATCTTGCTATGCGAGTAGGTTTACTCACTTCTATTACTTCTTTTTCATCTACATGTTCACGTTAATGAAAAGAAAATGAGGAATGAACTGAACGGATATTTTCGTAAGGTCCGGAAAACCTCTGCCAAACTAAAGAATATTTGGCCATTCTGTGAAGCCACGTGGTTTTTGGTTATGTTGATGTATGGCCTATAGAATGAACACAAAAAACTTGGGAAGAAATCGGCATGTGCGAAAAAACAAATGAATGGGTGTGGCATGCATAGTTGCCACGATGTCGTCAAGGTGTTAAAGCTCACGAACTTGGTCTTACTTGATGTTCAACCGAAGTCTACCTTCCACTAGCACTTTCCTGCACTTTGCCCAAAGTTCTTTTCAGCAATCCGCCACCAGAGTTATGTCGTCTGCAGATAGAATGGTCCTCAATGGCTCTTACATGTTATACTCTAACCGTTTACAGCTTTTGCTAGGCCGCATGAAGTGCGTACTACAGTCTTAACCCACCATGGTGTCCTTCACCAAGGTGGTTAGGTGTTCCGATGTGTTCCTTCTCTGCGCCCTCTGCCCCCAGAGCACCGGTTATGGTAGACGGTCGAACGCAGTAGGTCGGCGCTTTCTCGATACTTCTCCATCATTCGCTTAGCGATTAAGATGAAATCCATAGTGTATCTTTCGGGCATAAAGTTAAACCGTTTCTGGGAGATCAGAAGCAGCTGCAGAAGCATCGAGTCGACCAGTCGCTCGTGCTCATACAACTTCATAATACGCCCAGTCAACTTGCTGCCGCAGTGGTTGCAGCACTCTATTGCGTCAAATTCCCGTTAGGAAGTGGTGAAGGCAGAAGATGTTCTCCAGGCATCCGGCATCCTCTCCTCCGCAGTTACAGTGCTGGGGCATCGATGAGCCATCTTGTCCCGTACTCTGCAAGAGCCTTCCATACAGTGCGCCACATAGTTGCTCAAATTTGATCACTGCATTTCCAGAATAAGCAGGCCTCCTATATGC